AGGGAGGGAGGGAGGGAGAGAGAGAAAGAGTCAGTCTCGTACTACAGCCCGGGCAGGCTGACTTGAACTCGCTCCGTCGTGAGTCTGTATCAAGCCTTCTGTGCCATCCTCTCCGGTGTGGCATTACAAGTATGAACCACCACACCTGTCTGCCCTTTAGAAAAACATTTTAGAAGCAGCTCGCCTCTGTTCCCACCCAGAGCTTTTAAAGACACCCGGCTACCTCAGAACCCAGGCGCCTTCGACTCAACATGGAAAAAAATATCCTCTCCATCTCTCTTACCTGAACCCTGAAGTCCTAGGCTGCACACGGACACTGTGAGAATAGGGAGCCCACACACAATAAATAAAATCACCCCTTCCTGCCATACAACTCCCCAGTGGACATAACTGCAAAATAGCAGGAAGGGGAGGGGACGGAGGGAGGCACAAGAGGTCTTGGACGAGCTTCAAAAATCACAGCAGTACTGGGGTCAGGTGGCATCTCTCTGGAGCACCCCTGGGTGTGGAAAACTTTACCTCTTTCTTCTGTCCTCTGAGGTAAAATGAGGGGACTCCAGGTGTTCTAGCAGGTGGGATATGGGAGAACTGATCCTCATTGCAGGTTTCTTTCCTTAATGTGAACAGCAGCTTCTCATTGGCCTTGAGTCCATCGTGGGGCGACACACAGAAATGACACAAATGGCCGTGATAGTAACTGGGTGGCCTTTGCATCGAAGACCATCAGGATTACTTTTTTTTACTTAGAACTTTCAAATGATTTGTTACTATGGCCTGTGGCTTCCATCAAGGGCAAAACTAAAATCAAGGGTACCCTACAAGTCAGTTAATCCTCCCCTTGGCACTCACATCTCCGCAGGACACTTTGATAGCCAGAAGGGAAAGGCCTTCAGGTGTGCTTTGGGGGTTAGTGTGGTCAGGAGGTTACTCTGAGTCCTTGTGACTTCTGAAGTACTAGATAAGGCTGGATATTCCCAGTGACCAGCTCAGCCCTTTAAATATAGTAAACGGTAAAATAAAGTTATTTTCTCCCGGTTGGGTGTTTAATAGCTCAGTGGTATAGCGCTTGCCCAGCACTTACAAGGCCTTGGGTTCAGTCCTCAGTTTAAAAAGGAGGGGGGCAGTGGTGGTGCACACCTTTAATCCCAGCACTCAGTAGGCAGAGGCAAGTGGATCTTTATGAGTTCAAGGCCAGGCTGGTCTACAAAAAAAGTTCTAGGACAGCCAGGATTACACAAGAAGACTTGTCTCAAAAAACCAGGGGAAAAAAGTTTTCTCCATAAAAGGGCTTTGAAATGTGTAACAGGTACATGTGGATAGGGACTTGAGGAGTCTAGAAGGCTTCGATATGTGACCACAGGCATATGCCAAGGGAAACGGACCTTTCAGGCAGACAGAAACCCCTTTGTGATTTCCTGAGGAATGTTGTTCCCTCTATAGCCCAGCCTGAGCAGAGCAAACTGTTGTCTTAGGTTATCCACTGCTTTTGGGGAAAATCGGGGTTCTGTTTGGGCCTGACAGTTGCCCTTCCCTTTCAGGAACTCCGAGTTTCAACTGTTGGTGTGCCCGATGTGGAGTTACCATGGCCCAACCAGACCCTTCCAACATCTGAGTAGTTAGTTTAGACCATGCACAGAGCAGATGAGGACTTTGTCCTTCCATTCACTCTTCAACCCATGGAGGAGAACGCTGCAGTTGCCATGGGTTGCACCTTGCAGTCATTCCTCGAGCATGCTGCAGCTGCTGTGGGCCGCACCTTGCAGTCACTCCTTGAACATGCTGCAGCCATCGTGGTTGCACCTTGCAATCATTCCTCAAGCATGCTGCAGCTGCTATGGGCTACACCTTGCAATCTTTCCTTGAGCACGCTGCAGTTGCTGTGAGCTGCACCTTGCAATCATTCCTCGAGCATGCTGCAGCTGCTGTGGGCCGCACCTTGCAATCATTCCTCGAGCATGCTGCAGCTCTGCCATTAGCCACACCTTGCAATCACTCCCCTCCAGCTTCTCCTGGGAAGGGTAGAGACAAACACAAGTTTCCAGAACGTGAGAGGATGCTAGGTTGAGAGGGGCATGAGGTCTACCATAGCAGCCACCTGGGTATGCAGGTACTGGGAAGTCTCACCTTAGCACAGCAACCCACACCCGATGTGCCCTCAGCAGCGCAGCAAGCAGCTCCAGCACCTTACCCAGGAGGAGGTGTGGTTGGATTTGGTAGCAACCACTGAGCTAGATCTGGCTTCTTTAGGCTTTCTGGCACAGCCAGGCCCCAAAGTCCCTTCATTTGTGGGCAGTGCAACTGGTTGCCAGAGGAACCACTGTGGGTCACTCAGCTTCAAGCTGACAGGGTCCCCTTTGTTCCCCTGACCACTTGGGATTCTCTCCAGCTGTATTTCTAGCCCTAGTAGAATCAGGGGTTTGACAGGGAGCCTGGTCCACTGTCTACTTCTTTGCCTGTTTGTGGCACTCCAGCTCACTCTTTGCATAAAGGAGAGGACTCCGTCACCAATGTCACTCCCCTTCCCCAAGACCTGCTGGCATCACCGCAAAGTCTGGTAGGTTATCTCCCGGGGCATCCCTCTGCCTGATCTCAGATTCATTGTAACCTGGGTTCACAATACTGGCAACAGTTGGCCTTGAGTCATTTGGCCACATTAGGGAATGCCACCTGAAACCAGTGCCACAGGGTCCGAGTCATCTGTTAACATCCATCTCCACAGAGACCACCTGGTCCCAGCTGACTCAGCAGAAGCCATGTGTTTATCCACAGAACCCTACAGGGGCCTTGGACCTCTGTGAAGTCCTTGGGAGTTGAGTCCTGGCCTGAATGTTTGTCGGGGACAGGACCCCGTTCTAGGAGCTGTCGTGTGCCTACGTCACATCTCTGGCACTATTGATGCAAGGATGAACGTCATCGTATTTCTATAGGGTTTTCCAGCCACATCTTCCTGTGTAGGGACGTGCTCTCCTGTGCATATAGCAGCCAACTAATACAGGCTTGTTTCCCCCTCCTCCCACCCCAACTCTTCTAGAATAAAATACTGGGCCTTCCACTTACGCTCCCTTCTACGTATGGAACCGTGCCGGGCCACCACGTTGCCACTGTCACCCTTTCACCCAGCGGAGCCCACGGAGAGGTGAGCAAGGGTACAAGGGGACAGATGCTGCTGGGAGTCGACAGAAGGCAGGAGGCAGCCTTGGCAACCCCAAGGATCGGATTAGTCACAGCAAACAATGGGCTGTTTACTGGATTTTCGGAGCTTGCTAATGAGAAGAGGAAATTCTTATTCACCCCACACCCTGGGAGAGGGAGGTCAAGGCCAAAAGCTCACCTCCCAGTGAAGGGTCTTGCCAGCAGCTCTGGCCACTCGGAGACATAGAGACCTGGTCACCCACATCCCACCATTCATGGGAAATTGCTGCAACAGACTGGGCCTTCCAGGGTTGGGCAGTCACTCTGGTAGAGCACCTGCTGGACCTTGGAGGTAGGGGGTGGGGCTATTACACTTCCAAACGCACAAAAGGGTAACAGAAACACCCAAACTGTCACTTGCCCTCTCTGGCTCCTATATTTACTCTAACGGCTTTGGAAGTCCAATGGCCCTTCTCTCCATTCTCCTCAGAGCCTTTCTCCAACATCCCGCCTCCTCACCCCCAGTGATTCCCTCCCACCCAATAGGAAGGAGTCTAGGAAGATGTGCCAAGGTCGGAGCAATAAAGGATCTGTAAGCTCCAGCGACCACAGCCTTTAAAGAGTTTTTCTTGAGATCGCGGTTTAGGTTAGGTTTAGGTTCACCTTGACCTCCTTATGTAGCCAGGGGAAACCTGCACCCACCTCCCAAGTGCTGGGATCACCAACCTCTGCTTCCACACTGTATCACAAGGACCGAGAAGCAAATGCAGGGCGCTGTGCATGTCCCAGTCCCACCTCTTTCTGTACAATGTGGCTTACTTTATATGGAGACGCATCACTAGGACCAGTTTGGCAAAGTATTTTAATATACAGATACAAAACGACAAATAGAGATTCACAGCATTTACAAGAAATCAAATACCTATTTTTTTAAAAACAACAACAACAACAAAACCTTCATTTAGCAAAAAAATGCACATCTTGCACACAGGTCCTATTTCAGTGTCAAAGTCAACTCGCCATCTCAAGAGTAGCACTTGACTTACACAGCACCCCAACGTGGATTAGTTTTCACCAAAAGCATAGCCAAGAAGTCAGCAAGTCATGCACACTGGGCACCAACGTGTACCCCCCAAAAGGGACCAATTATTAAATTACAGAAGTGGCTCAAAATACTTTCTAAATATAAACGGTCATGACTAAGAGACCATGAAGGTAATAATGAAGCACGTGGGATGGCTAAGCAAATTTACATACATTATATAAGCTGACTCCCCCCCTCCTCCCACTAGCTAGAAGTTGCTACTTACTTTGTCCCAAGTCCTTCAAACTCCCCTTCCCTGGATCCTGAGAAGAAACCATTTGTGGGCACACTGCACCCAGCATCCTGGCTTTACGCTGCTGAAAGACACTGACTCACACTTCTTGGCACTGGCCTGAGGGACACTTCTGCTTTTCCTATCTGGGATGAAGACAAAATGCAGAAGCCATGCCTGGGCTCCAGGAAACTCCAACTGGGAACAGGACTGACCCGTCCCGAGAAATATCCAGGTCCAGTTCTCCACACGCGGACGATGCTGGATCGCAGGCGCTTACAAAAGACTTCCACTGGGAACCGGATTTCAAATTGAATACATTTTTGCTTTGTATGTAAAAACAGCAACGTAGGATGTGGAATCAGTCTTGAATGGCTTGGATAGTAAAAGGCACAGTATTTAGAAATGGCGTTCCGTAGTGGTGATGGTTCCCGCCTGCAGAAGCAGGTCTACCACATGTCTCTTGAGAGCCCGATTAGCTGTCTACCACTCCCTTTTATTCTTGAGACAGAGCCTGGAATGTTCCTTCTTTCTCTACACTTTCAAGTATTCTTTATGATCACCTTTCACCTACCACATGGTGGTCATATATAATCTAAACCAGGGAGGCCCTCTCAACTGTATCAACAGAGCTGGCAAATTCTGAAATGCTAACGACAGAACAAACGAAATCATTAAAATGGAGATCAAATCACAAATTGTTTTGGCCGTTCAGGGAGAGGGAGGGAACGTTCACGAGCCTCAGACACCATTCCGCAAAGAGGCTCCGTGCTGTTTCTCTTTTCTTCCTTTCAAAGTAGAGCACACGCCTCAAATCAAGAAGGAAGTTTGGAGAACTAAAAATAATACTTAAGGTCTTCCACTTTTTGTAGAACTCAGGTATTTGGTAATAAAATTTATACAGACATATAGATTTTTTACAAAGTCAAAAGGCTATTATAGCTTTTAAAAACACATTAGTTTTCAAAATCACCCAGACATCCCAAGTAAGATTCATCCGGGTCAGACATGTGATCGAACACTTCTCACACTGTATAAAATTGCCTGGGGCCGGCCCAGGTCTTGACCGTGACTCGGGATTGTTAGGAGGTCTGTGGAGGTAGGTGGGAACCGGAAGTTAGGGCAGCTGGGAAATCTATCAGGACCGGTCACAAACTTAACGTATTACTTCTTCACTGTCATTCACTGTAACAGCAAATGAAGTCTGCAGTGAGCCTCAAGTTGAATCCTCAGTGACTATAAACAGGGCCAAAAGGCTCTCTTCACTTCCTCAAATCAGTTCACGTATTAAGAGCACAACTGTTGAAACTGCCAGACAGACACAGGGTAGCAGAGAAAGTACACTAGATATAATTTCCAAAATAAATCATTGCATTCAGTTAGTAAAATACAAAAACAACCTGTCAGTTATAGAAGCGCAGCTAAGCTGAGGCATCTACTCAAGGATTCTCTCACTCGCTCTCTCTGTCTCTCTAACACACACACATACACACACACACACATACACACATATTCTGTGCACGGAACCACTTCATGACGCACAGAAACAGCTCAGCCGTGGGGCTTCTAACCACAATCCCCAGCAGTGTTGCCTCTAAGTGAACATGCCCAGGGTGTACAGCAGGGTCGAGGCTAACCCCAGGTCCAGGGTCAAGGTGATTTGCTGTGAGGTCAGTAGCTTTAGGCACAGTTCTAGCTGGGGCAAACTGGGTGGAGGAACCGTGCTGATGGACCAATATCTTCATCTCTAACACTGCAGACTTGTTTGTTCTCAAGCAAGAGCTGAGGAGCGAGGAGAACCTTGCAGGAACTGCTCGCAAGAACAAGCTTGTCCAAAAGGCACAGCTGCGTGGCAGGACCCCTCCCTGCCAGCTCTCTGTGTCGATTAAAATGTAGGACCAGTCTTCCTTACATCCGGTTAAAAAGCATTTTTATCAAATTCCATAAAGTCAACAAAGGGAGGTTACTCTCTGTGGGCGTCAGCCCGTGTGACCCTCATTAAACTGTCTCTCAGAGCGAAGGAGTCAACCTCCAGATGACACAGCCCCTGCAGTACCGTTTCAAGGTCATGTGACAGGTGTCTCCACATCCCAGGAAGCAGGATGCTTTGTCTCTTGCTTTCTCTGTGTCTTCATCACCTCACGGATGAAGAAGAAACTGCAAATGGCTGCTGAAGATGCGCGGGTGCCCATTCTCATGTTATCAGACTTGAAACGATTTTCACCTCGCCACTGTTTCTGTGAACGGCAGCTCCTTAGGTTGTGCTGTGAGCAGACAGGACCTCTGCTGGAGGAGGTGAGAGGGACAAACGAGCTGGCAGTGCCCTTCCCTCGGGTCAGAAAAGTAGCACGGGGCTTTGAGGATGCTATCATGTCCCACGTTGCCAGGGCGACAGGTGCCTCCTGTCTCTCTCTCCCTAGCTCGTGAATAGGGAACCTTGTAAGATGAAGCCTACACTCTTGCTTGGCACTTGGTACAATTTGGAAAACAGTGGGCACCTGCCCAGCAGTTCTAACCCCTTCACTGTCTCTGCCAGGCCTGACCTGACCCAGGCCATCCTATGGCTGCCAACATCCTACCAATCTCTGTCAATGCTTAAAAACAAACACAGAAGGCATCCTTAATCTAGTTGCCCCCAAGGGATTGAAAGGCTCTTGGAACTGTCTGGAACTGCAGCAGGGGTGTGACCATCAGTGGCAAACTCACAGAACCACTGGGTCAGCTGTCCCCCTGCAGAGAGAGGCCTGGTCCCTACATCCCGGCCACCTGAGTGTGCACCTCGGCTTCCAGTGTAGGACAGAGCAGTGCTTCACGGTGCCCTTCTTTCCACGAGGGCACCAGGGCCTCTCAAAATCAAAGTTGAGTTCAACTCCTTCTCCTCGTCACAGATTCCCAAAAGCGTGCAGCAGCACACTGGACACCACACCAAAGAGACGAACCTGGCCTTTCTCCCCACAGACCTCAGAGGCACACCCTGAGTGAGGCTCATTTTCTGAAGGGGGTTAGTTTGTGGAAAGTGTGCCAGAAGAGTGACGGCTTCCTCTTGGGCTCGGCCAAGGCGAAGACTTGCTGCTGCGGGATGCTGGTAGGCACGGTGATGTGGCGCTGGTGAACGGGCGGCAGGCTCTGGTGGGGTGGGGCCACAGGGCAGCTGCTGTAGCCTAATTCAGGAAGGACAGACAGACCAATCAGTTAAAAGCCACACTGGGGCTTGAAGTACTTAGCTGATTCACAGAAATCAAAAGGCCATCTGGTAACTGTCCTAAGCAACAAGACTTTCGGATAGCCGGGGTGGGGTCAGCAAGGGTTACGTCATGTAGACTCCCCCAAACTCTCACAGGAAGGAAGCCTGGAGATGAAGTAGATCACCTTTCACTACCAGGGAGGTCAGGGAGGAATCAGAACTGGGCTCCTGGTATGGATGGGTAAGTAGTGACAATGCTCAAACCAAGGCCTGAAGTCAACACTCCCTCGGCCCAAATGCTACTCCACACTGACTGGCCATGAGTATTTGGAGGGAAATTCTTTGATTTCTCTGTGTTCCCTATTCTCTAAAACAGGAGTAACGGTACCAGCGTGTCACGAGAACACTGTCTACCCTGGGGACACTGAGTGTGAGCACTAGGACCCTGATGTGGCCTGGCCGCGAGTGCTTCTGCGTCACTGCCAAGTTACTCTAGTGTGCACAGAGTGGGGAAGCACACTCGAGAAGAAGCCTGGGTCTTCTCACCCACTGACGCACAGAGTGTCGAGACCTTGCCTCACCTCGCTGGACTGCGGTACAGCTGCGTTGGGAAACGTTACTTTAAGCAGGCAAAGGTGTGTTACGTTTGTTTATGCTGCAGTTGTTTAATTATGTAGACGTGTGTTTGTTTCTTTAAAGAAGCCTTTGTTTCACCTTACTTGCCTAAGGCACCTGATTGGTCTAATAAAGAGTTGAATGGCCAATAACTAGGCAGAGAGAGAGAGAGAGAGGGAGAGAGAGAGAGAAGAAGGGAGAGAGGAAGGGAGGGGGGAATGGGCGGGCTGGTGGGCAAAAAGAATAAATAATAGGAGGAGAAAGCTAGGCTTGAGGAGAGAATGAGGAAGAAAGAAAGGGAGACGCCCAGGGCCAGCCAGGCAGCAGACAGACAGACGGACAGACAGACAGAAGAAGCAGCGAAAGTAAGTTATACAGAGGGGAGGAAGATAAAAAGCTCCGAGGCAAAAGTTAGATAAAGAGAAAGAAACAGGTTAACTTAAAAGAGCTGGCTAGAAACAGGTCTAAGCGAAGCCGAGCACTAATAATAAGCCTCCATGTCATGATTTGAGGAAGTGGTTGCTGGCCCAAAAGAAAACGCTTGGTACACAGTCACCTCTAGCGGGCAAGCACTTCGTTACTGGAGATTCCTCCTCAACCCAAAATCTGCAGGGCTTGATTTACCTGGTGGCTAAGTGGTGCCATAATCCCTTCTCACGCCCCAGGAATGTGAGGAACAGGGTGCACTGGCAGAGCTAGGAGGCGTGAAGGCCTCTGCTGCTGTCTGAAGTGTTTCATGCACCTGCATGCAAACCTGAAAGACTCCACCTACATGTCAACTTGGGTCTGTTCCTTTAGTGTCCCTGGCTTTCTGTGTCTACCCAGTGTTGGAAAAGGTTCTCTGTGGACACTGCCTCCATATTATCACAAGAGCCACAGGAGGGAGGCAAAGCCTCCACCAACCTTACCTTTAGATTTCCCATGTCCGGCTTTCTGGGCATTCAACATGGCGAGTTTCTTTTGATTTTCTGGGATTTCCATTCCTGGATTTGGAAACAGAGGTGGTCCATACTCAGAACCCAGGAAAACATTTTCAAAACAAAGTGTGTACTACATAGACCAGTGCCGACGTGTTCTCTACAGACTGGATAAAAGAACCCTGAGAGGAAAGGCGCCAGCGGTGTCACCAGGGGCCTCACGATGACCTCTGAACCTGGGTGTTTTGGCGCGTGCGTGATATGAGGTGCTACTGTCATGAGACACAGACAAGACAGACACGCCCGGGGCCAATGTCCACACAGAAGCTACCGTGATTGCAGGTCTAAAGCACTGAACTCTGGGAAGAGAGCCCAAGGCAAAGAGGCCTAGGGCTGTTGCTCACAGGAGCCGGGAGCTCTGCGGGTTGAGATTCTACTTGCCTGAAGCCTCAGATTGGAGCTCTGCACCCTAGCCCTGCAGTGTGGACAGAAATGCCATCTACCGTCTACATACCCATGGTGGGCCAACTATGTAAAAACAAGCTGTACCCGGAGAGAGGACAGAGAGACAAACAGCAGAGGAGCTGCAGCTGGGGCTGGGGTGACTGCTTCTCCTGAGGTGAGGAGCCGGGCAGCACTGCAATAGAGCTCAGCTACACTCTCCCTCCCTCCGCAGCTCGGGGTGCCCCTTGTCTCTGTTTCCAACCTTCCTTCTAGGTAGGCTCTGCTTCCCTGGCTTCCTGCAGTCACATACCCAACGTCTGTCTGACCAGTGGAGTGTCCTTCTCACCCCATACTCAGACATAAGAGATTGGGGTCTTGCTCCAGGCCTAGCCTGAGGACCTGTCCACACTGGACACAAAGCAAAAGGCACCCGCAAGCTGCAGAACAGAGCTGGAAGTGTTTAGGATGCCTGCGTGATCATCATGGACCCTCAGCGAAAGGAGTGCAAGCATCTGACTATAGCCACACCAGACAGTGTGAACAACTGAGCAAGCTGCGGGGAGAGCAAGCATTCCAGCTCTCCGCTTCTTGAGCCGCAGCAGACAGGGTGACGGACTGAGTAACCGCACCTCACATTTTGGTAACTACCTGCACACTTCTGAGAAGGATTTCATGACAAGCCTTATTGCGACAGAGTCTGACGGTCAGCAGTCAATGCACGGCAGCTACTGTGGGTTCTGGTTCCCTTGGGTCTAGAGGACAGTCACACAGAGTAGATGAGCCCATCTGTGAGGCTGGGAGCTACCTGACCTCACACTGGTCTGAGCTCCGAAGGTCTCCGGAGAAATTCTTTTTTTTTTTGGGGGGGGGGGGGGGGGAGGAAAACGTTTATTTGGCTTACACTTTATATCAAAGCAAGTCAGGACAGGAACTCACGCAGGGCTGGACTTGGAACTGGAACTGATACAGGCTACATGGAGTGAGTGCTGCTCCCTGGCTTGCTCAGCCTGCTTCTTTTTTTTTTTTTTTTCGAAACAGGGTTTCTCTGTAGTTATTGGTGCCTGTCCTGGAACTAGCTCTTATAGACCGGGCTGGCCTCGAACTCACAGAGATCCACCTGCTTCTGCCTCCCAAGTGCTGGGATTAAAGGCGTGTGCCACTACTGCCCGCCTCAGCCTGCTTTCTTATAGGACCCAAGACCTCCAGCCCAAGGATGGTCCCACTCACAATGTGCTGGGCCCTCCCCCATCAATTACCCCTCCCCCATCAATTACTAATTAAGAAAATGCCCTCCAGACTTGCCTGCAACCCAACCTTAATAGAGGCATTTTCCCATGGAGGCTCCCTCTCCGGAGAAATTCTTACTTTTACTGGCAAGATAGCCTGATGGATTTCTAAGAGCTCTCAACATAGGATCCTAGGACACTTTCTAGTTCCAACAGCAGAATCTAGGGCCAAGTCTGAAGGTGCTGGCTTATACAGGAGACATAGGGATCACCCTTAAAGCCCCTTGGGCTCAAGGGCAGCAGGGCAGTACTGGCCCAGATACACAATCCTTGAGATAGGGGCACCACAGTCATTTCTCACTCGTCTAATCCCTGTGCACCCCTGATCTGGGCACCACAGCTCACATCTGACAGTGCATGCTCACAATCCCAGTCTGTGTGGGTGACTCTGGAGCTCAGACATAGAAACTGTGAATGCTACGCTGGTTAACGCCACACGGCAGCTTCCTTCTCATGAGATCATGCAATCAAGAGGTCAGCAGAAGTTAGGACGACACACCAAAGTACAGGTTAAGTTCCCCTTGTCTGAATTGTGTGGGAATGGAACATGCAACACTTTGGATTTTCTAATATTTTCACATACACAGTATATAAGGTATCTTAGTGATGAGACCAACGTCTAAGCACAGGATTTGGTTATGTTTCGTAGATCCCTTCTACACAGCCTGGAATTATCTCCAAACTGTACTTTTGGGGCATCTGTATTTTAAGTGGGTCCCTCACATGATGCTGAAGCATGGAATTTTCCACACTGACACTCAGAAGGATTCTGGTTTGGGGACCGTGGATGCTCAGTCTGCACAAGGATACTACTGACTATCAGAAGCATGAGCTTACTCATGTGCAGGTTCTATGGATGCCAGAGATAAGGGGAGGCCTAGGAGGAACTGTGTCTGAACTGACCCGGGCAGTGAGGCGAATTTAGAGTGCTTTGCAGCAGTGCTGATAAAGGGGAAGTCCATTTTCTGGCTAGGAAGATGACTGCTTGGGGGTGGATAAAGAGTGCGTGCTGTACAAGTCTGAAGTCCTGCGTTCAAATCCCCAGTGCTCATGTAAAAAGCTGGTGTACTCGTGTGCAACTGTAACCAATGCTGTGGGGGGATTGAGACAGGAAGACTGCCGGGTCTTGATGGCAGCTAGCCTAGCTCCAGGTTTGGTAAGACCCATTGCGAGTGAAAAAGGCAGAGAAGGACACAGAAGGTCCCTAGATGTCCTCTTCTGACCTCCATATGCATCACCCCGCCAGGAACAAATATACCACATACATACATGCAACATGAATAAGTGAGTACAGAAAAGAAAGAATCTAATGTGTCTACTGGTTGGGTGAGGGGCGTGTGTGTGCCACCATCATATGGCACCACACCAAGCCGGGCTGTCTGTAAAACGGGAATCAAGGGAACAAGCAATTCCTAGGGGGTGAGGGGCCATCTCGACTACTGCTCCCCGAAGCATGTGCCTGCAGCCCCGTCCACGGATTTGGCTCTTCAGGGAGTGACTGAACAGAAGAGGCCAGCGGTGGATGGAGGAGGCTGAGGGGACTCACCCATTTGCTGGTCTTCCTGTACCCGCTGCCTCTCGTCTGCATAGGCCTGCAGCCACCTGGCCTTGTCTTCCTGCTTTCTGGCGCAAAACAGGTGCACCTCATCTGTGGTTCTGCTGACCAACTTGAAGGCATTCCGCATGCTGAGGTTCCAGTCCTTGTCCCGCCCGTCCTCCACGTCCACAAGCTCCACCTCGTCCATGTCCATGCGGCCCTTGTAGTACAGCATGTCCCTGCGCAGCAGGTCCTTCTTGCAGGACACCAGCTGGTGGTCGAAGAGGAAGAAGATCCGCTGCTGGCTCTTGCCCTGCCTGGTGATTTTGGTCAGTTCCCCCGAATGAATCAACTCGGAGCTTCGGTCTAGGATGTCCAGGCCCTGAGAGAATGCAATTACGCTGTGAGTTGTCTGAACCAAATGGTGTCCAGTAGCAGACACAAAGAAGGGGCCTCTGGTACAGTCTTTCTAGAATATTCCAGCTCCCTATGGCCAGGCAGTGCTGCCCTACACATGGGCAGGGCCTCAGAGGCCATTCAGACCCTCACTTCCTGGATCCCTTGTCCTGAAATACCTCTTTGCTGCTCTTTATTTCCTCTGTGTTACTCGAAGTGTCTTCCTGATCTAAAAGAAACCACACACTACAGTAATGGAATCCAGACAGCATCTGCAGCGGGAGCTAATAAAGCCTGACTGCAGAGGTTGCATCGCACAGGGACATGGTATAACAGAATTACCTCCCGAGTCAGGTGTGTACCCACTCCCTGGAGCAGCTTAGCGTCCTGCAAATAAAAGGCCAGGCTGCCAGTAAGAAATCAGTAAATTCTGATGAGATGATCTAATGTTTGATTATTTCTACTGTTAGGTCATAACATTGTAAATGTTAGAATCTAAAGGCTGGAAGAAAAAAAAACAACTCCCCTTTATAATATCTAGAGTGCATAGATGCTAGCATCATCCTAACAAATTTGGCATGAAGCTGGCCTTCGTTTAAAAGTTTTCATTTCCCGGGCCGTGGTGGCGCACGCCTTTAATCCCAGCACTCGGGAGGCAGAGGCAGGCGGATCTCTGGGGGTTCGAGGCCAGCCTGGTCTACAAGAGCTAGTTCCAGGACAGGAACCAAAAGCTACGGAGAAACCTTGTCTCGAAAATCCAAAAAAAAATTTTCATTTCCCTCTAATCTCAATAATACTCAGCATATTTTGGAGGCAAAAGTGCTTGAGTCCAAAATATTGCTTCTATTTCCTTTCCTAGAGCAATTCTGTGCCCCAGATTCTTCACTTATAAAAACAAGGGATCAGAAGTGATGACAGAGGTATGTCAGGGCTCTGGAGGAAGAGCACTTCTCTTCAGCTGTCCCTGCCCTCATTAACTTCAGCCAAATTCCTGCCCTCACTCACCCTGTACCTTCTCAGTCCCTGAAAGCCATGTAGGTGAACCTAACCTGGTTCAGCAGCAACCTGAACGGCACCAGTTTTCTTAGCTGCTGTGCTTCAGCACAGGTGACCAAAACAGATGTGCAGTCTGCTGGAATCCTGGGCTGGAACCCAGCTCTGCCATGCTCTAGCTACGTGGCCTTGAATGAGGTGCTTACACCTTTCCCTGTGTGCTCATGCAATAAATAAGGGTATACATTCATCAGGCCATTACTAAGGGGCCCTATCAAGTAGGGTTATTTGTACTATTACTTAATGATCATGTAACCTAAAAAGTAGTATTTTTCTCCTTAAAGACGATAAGAGAATATCTGCTTGGATCATACAGGTCTCAAATATGTCATTATGGCTCAAGACCTCATGCTCCTACTACCATGTTCTAGGACTGTGTAGAAACGGGGCCTTTGTTTAGGATCAAACTGGCTCTCCATGTCGGGGGGACCAGACTCTAAGCAATAGAGTAATGACTTTTTTTTTTTAAAGATTTATTTATTTATTATGTATACAACATTCTGCCTCGATGTATGCCCGCACGCCAGAGGAGGGCGCCAGATCTCAGTACAGATGGTTGTGAGCCACCATGTGGTTGCTGGGAATTGAACTCAGGACCTCTGGAAGAGCAGCCAGTGCTCTTAACCTCTGAGCCATCTCTCCAGCCCGAGTAATGACTTTTTAAAAAAATTATTTTTAAAGACAGGCAGTGGTGGCTCACACCTTTAATCCCAGCACCCAGAAGGCAGAGACAGGTTCGAGGCCAGTCTTGTCTACAGAGTGAGTTCCAGAACAGCCAGAGCTACATAGAGGAAACCCTACCTCGAAAAAACCAAACCAACCAGCCAAACAACAACAAGAAAGCCCAAATAGCAAAAATCTAATTAACTGCCTTTATTTATTCATTTTGTGTGTGCTTAAGTTTCTGTGTATGGGCAGAGTGAGTCACCGTTCCCATGTGGCTGGTGGAGGACAACCTGCAGGGTTCATTTCTCTCCTTTTACCATGTAGACGCTGGGGATTAAACTCATGCTATTTCTGGTTGGCACCTTTACCCTCTGGGCTCTCTCACCTACTCAGACCCTATTTCTTTGTAGGCACTGTATATAAATAAGGCAATTGACTTTTAGACTTATCAAAATCCCTCTGACTACACAGACCATTATCAGAACGTACACCAGTAAAGCCAGAACACAGAATGCTAAAGGATGCTGTCCTGGGTCCAAGGTACAGGAGCGGTGAGCCACTCCGCCTACGCGAGCGCCACTCACCTCCCAGCCTACGATGGACACCTGCCAGCGGGCAATCTTGTCAATGCTCTCCAGCTTGCGCTTGCGTTCGTTGATCAAGCAGGCCACGTTCTTCATGGCCTCGTAGGCTGCCTTGATATTGTTGTAATCGCTGCAAAATGGGGAGTTCATTTCAACTGTAAGGCCATGCAACTCACAAAGGAGGGCTGACCGTGTGCTCGGACCCCGGTCTGTATGAGTAAGAGCCATTATCCCCGATGAATAGACCACAGTCTGCACAGGTTAAGTGAGCGGAGAGAACACAATTCACAATTCTTCTGGAGTAAGAATGTTGTCATTCATTTCCCAGAAATCACCGTGAATGAAAGTAAATGTCACAGAAACCTAGTGTTAGTCACAGCAGCTCTGAATTATTTCCATTCGCACAGAGAACTGCCTTCATGTCTGCCTTGATTTAACATAACCACTTCTGCTATAGAAAGCTGCTCGAAAACCATCGGTTGCGTTATGAGTCTAATTATCCGCATCAAGTCTCATCTTTTACTTGTTGAGGAAGGGACACGAAAGACCATAGCAATACAGTATGATGGTCTTCCAGCAGACCCCCAGGCCACGCCTCTAAAACTGTTAAGAAGCTGTGGACACACACAGGAGCACTGACTGCCGGGAAGTCTGCAGGACTGTCCACAAGGCAGTCCTGCCTCCGGGGGCCTATTCTCGAGGCAGAGCAAGAGGCAAAACGAGCATGAGGTAGAACTGCCTAAGACTTGGGAGCCCCCAAAGAAAAGGGATGATGTATTTTCTAAAAGGCCCCCCAAAGCAGCAGAAACTAGGAGGCTTTGTTGTTGCTTTTTTTTTTCTAGAATACTCCTTCCCCCCATTTTACTTTAACAAAATAAGGAAGAGTCTCAATGTCATTCTCTTCTGAATATTTCTCAAAGTTGGTTCTGGTGGTGCGCACCTGTCATTCAGCACACGAGCAGCCAGGGCAGGAGGATCAAGAGTTAGTTTGAGGTTAGCCTTGGCTATATATGAGTCCTGGTCCCCTTGGCTCTATTGTGTGTGTGCATGTGCGCGCACACACACACACACACAAACTGGAACAAGTGTGATAGTGAATGCCTATAATATTAGCACTACTCGGGGGATATAGGCAGTATTTCTAGATACAGGATTTCTTCAAGTTCAAAGCCAGCCAGATTCACCTTAACAGCACCTTGCCTCAAAAAAATAAAATAAATAAATAAATAGGTGGGATAAATTTGAAAAATAATCAAAATCTGCAAATGCTCACAGGAAAAAACGTTCTCCAAAGAGAAAAGTCAGGCAGCTGAGCGATGATTCAGAGAGTGGAGGTGTCTGCTATGCAAGCCCTGGAACCCAGGTAAAGAGGGAAGGGGAGAACTGACACCACAAAGTTGCCCTCTGATCCCCACATGTGTGCTGTGCCGTGCAAGTTGCACCCCCATGATAAAATACTCAGAACACTCTAAAGCGTGAAGTCCTTCTTGCAGAGTGTGCGTGGTCACAGCTGCCCACCTTGGAAAGCGTTGCGCTCCCACGCCATCTCTCCAGAAGGCTTTGCTTTGCTTCTCAGTTCTATCATTATTTTCCTCAAATCACTGATGTGGGAGGTCCTTCTGTATATGTGTTGCTTTTATTGCTTAATTAATAAAGCTGCTTTGGCCAATGGCTTAGCCGAGTAAAGTCAGGCAGGAAATCCCAACACAGATATATATAGAGAGAGTAGGCAGAGTCAGGGAGATGCCATGTAGTTGCCAAAGGAGAAGGACATGCCGGAACCTTACCAGGTAGGCCACAGCCTCATGGTGATACACAGATGAATAGAAATGGGTTAATTTAAGATGCTAGATAGGAATACACCTAAGCTATTGGCCAAACAGTGTTGTAATTAATGTAGTTTCTGTGTGATTGTTTGGTTCTGGGCAGCCGGGAAACGAGCACATGGTCTCCATCTACAAGTCACTACTATGAACACGCGGTCTCCATCTACAAGTCACTACCATGATGCCCTTCAGTAGTTAGTTTTTAGCCTCTACAAACTGAGGTTCTCCTGACTTCCTTACTTTTCTCCACTAAGCTCTTCTGATAGCCATACCCGAAACAGAAAGATCCTACACAGTTGTCTTTCTCTTTTATTCATTTCGACAAACCTCTTCCTCCTTATTCCCTTGGGGGTCTAATTCTTTAAGCCTTCACCCCAACTAGGGTCTGTTCAGTAGCCCCCGCCACTTTGATCTTCTGCCTGTCTCTGCCAGAGGCTCAGGACAGAAGTGAGCCAGTTTCCAGTTCTTCAGGGTTCACTCTCACCCTTACCCAGACTCACCCTCCTCTATTCCTCTATCCGGTTTCATTTTGCTGAACTGCAGTTACCCACTGCCAACTGCAGTCTAGAAACGTTAAACCGAAGACTCCAGGAATAATTTGTAAGTTGAAATTATTTATCATTTATAATAATAGTAATAATAATATACTGTTGTAATTGTTACCTTAGTAGTTACTGTTAATCTCTTACAGTATCTTATTTGTAAATATATCTTCCTTTTGAGACAGAATTGCACTCTGTAGTTCAGGCTATTCTAAAAGTCTCTATGTATGTAGCCCAGGATGGCCTTGAACCAACAAGCAATCCTCCTGCCAGTTTCCCAAAGTGATGAGATTATAGGTGTGATCCACTATGAGCAGTTTTTATCTTTTTATAGGTGAGTATGCATCAGAAAAACACATGTAGGGATGCAGTTCTATCCATAGTTTTAGGTGTCCCTGGGATCTAGAAACAGATCCCCAAGAATAAAGGGGACTGCTGTAGTCTTATCTATTTCTTTCAAAACTAAAAACTGATTTGCCACTAAATACTACAAAGGATATTAACATAATATTTGTAAATTGTACCAAATAACACCTAAGTGAAAATTCCTCTGCAAAGTGTGATGTGCTTGCCTATAACTCTAGCAGGGAACAGGTAGGATCGTGATGAACTTTGGCTATATTTCAAAATCCATTGGGGGCTGGAGAGATGGCTCAGCGGTTAAGAGTATTGCCTGCTCTTCCAAAGGACCTGAGTTCAATTCCCGGCGACCACATGGTGGCTCACACCATCTGTAATGAGGTCTGGTGCCCTCTTCTGGCCAGTAGGCATACACACAGACAGAATATTGTATACATAATAAATAAATAAATATTTTAAAAAAGATCCATCTCAAAAAATCCAAATGCAAATTTAAATTAAACAACAACAAAACCAACCTCCATGCACTCACAAAACCAGCCTAAGAATTCTTTTGCATAATGGGCAATGGTGGTGGTCTTGGGAGACAGGGAGAGGCAAGTAGATTCTGTGAGTTCGAGGCCAGCCTAGTCTACAGAGTGAGTTCCAGGATAGGGTCCAAAGTTACACAGAGAAACCCTGTCTCAAAAAAAACCAAAACAAAGAAACAAAAGAATTATTTTGCTTTTCTATTTCTGGATGTCACAGAGTATCTTCCTATATCTTGTTACAGTGATAAACACTGTAAACTTCTGAGAACTTCATCCATGAAGCTCAGCGGCAGAAAGGCAAGGCTACCAGGACCCCAGCACCAGCACCAGGACCACCAGTAGCATCAGCACCAGCACCACCAGCACCTGTCTCTGCAGGAAGCACCAGGCTGGCTGGGGCTCGGTCTCACGGCCCCTGGGCGGCCCTCGTCTCACCTGTGCTCCTGTGTGGTGTACTTGAGCAGCTCGGCCAGCTGCAGCGGGTATTTGCAGATCTTCTGCACGGGCGTGAGGAGGAAGCCATCCAAGGCGATGTCGATCATCTGTTGAAGCAGGCGGCAGGCCTCGAAGAAGTGCCGGTACTTGCTCTGCTTCATGAGGTTGGACAGTTCCACGCAGGCACCCGGGTGGTTGTTGCAATACTCAGAGTAGATGGCAAAGCCCTCTTGCTGGAAGGGAAGGCAGCCTCGTCAGTCAGTGGCCCTGAGTCATCTGTGAGGACACTTCTGGAGAAGAGGGAGGACAGGCCAGCACCCCAAGGGCAATGCACGCTTGGCAGTGGCTTTCATGCCTGGTCAGTAGGAAGCTCCTTTGTGGGTGGTTGATAACTGGGTTCTCTTTAAGGGTTGGTAGAGGGATCGGAGACCCTACCCCCTGGGCTCACTCCAGTCCAAGCCTACGGCAGAGGGGGAGCAATGCTCTGAGGCCTGGCTCTCCATCTGGTCCCTTCCTTCCACTGATAAACTCTGGCGTGGAAGTACCACATGCTGCTGGCACACTGCCTAACCCTTGGGCCTGGCTTCCATGTGGTACTCCTTCTCCAACGGAAAGGCCACTGCCCACTTCCCTTCTCGCAGACGTCTCATTCTGAGGTACAGCCACACTGCTCCCTTCTCTTGCTGCCTGCTCTCCCGGGCTTGGGGCTGCACTCTTTCCTCTGCCCCCTGTTCCTCAAGACTGGGTGGACACTGCTTTGAAAGCCCTGTCACTGGGTTCAAGCCCACATCCCTGGCCACCCCCTTCCCTCCAGTGTCAGCTGCTGGGCCATGCACCCACGGTTGCCCTTCCTTCCTGCTCCCCCTGCTCCATCATGCAGGCTTGGCCGAGCCCCCCATGTGATTTCGCCACCCCGCCTGCTAAGTCGACGACGCAGGTGCTGGACACCACTCTTTGTTGGCACAACCAGCCCTGCCAGACTTCCCTGGAAAACACCCCTTTTTAGCAAGGCTCCTTTTCTTGGCTTCTGGGCCAGCACCTGACAGGGCTGCCACAGCAATGAGAGCAGTTAAGACTCTCCTGCCGTTGAGGCCATTCAGCTGCCCATTCTTCCCCTGCCTTTGCTCACCCCCAAAGCCTCTCCTGAGCTTCTCACCCACAGGCCTAGGCTGCTCTGGCCACACTGGTCTTCAGTGCCTCGAGGATACCTGGATACTCAGGGACCCATTCCTGCCTGCTTTCCTTTGGAACCACCATGCTCAGTAAATGAAGGCTTATCCACCGCTTCAGCTATAGCTCCCTGCCTCTAGAAAACCATGGGGTCCAGCACCCAGGAAGTGAGGTTATATTGCTGCCACTGTTAGTTAGTACCACCTAAACTATTCTCTAAGTAGAGATATAAAATCTCTAAAATCTTTTATTGTCAGTTATAGTCAATCAAAATAGCAAGGACCAATAACTCATGTCACCACCAGAGAAACTCCGAGGCTGTGTACCATCTGCCTGTGAGCACATGACCTTAGATCACTCACCCTCTGGAAAAGGAAAATCCCATCTACCTAAAGGCGGTACGTGAGCCAAGGGAAGAGAGCTCTGGAGTGTTTCTGGCGGAGGTGCCTTTCTATGCTACTGTCTGACCGGATGGGGCGACTGGAGGGACAGTGACATACGTGCTGAAGAAAGCAGGATCCTATCTCGCTTAAGTGAGGTTCCTCTTTGTTGTACTGTTTCTCAAGGTCTTTCAGAAACTTTCTTTGGAATTTGTAAATGTCTTCGATGTTTCCAAAAATAGTGGCTAGCTGCGCAACCGTGAACATCCCCGTGTGCTTACGACACTGTCGGATATAGCCCTGCAGAGAACAAAAGCAAACGGTTTTATTTGTTTGGAGATACTTGAACAATACAGTTTGTTGTTTCTATTTGTGCTTTGGCCCCATGCCAAGGTCTTGGGCTGAATTTTATTCTATTTTCAGGATAGGGTCTCACAGGTAGCTTAGGCTGGTCCCAAACTTCCAGTCCTCCTGACATACACTCCTGTGTGCTGGGACGACAGGCATGTGGCACTATTTCTAAGCTGGAGTGAATTTCAATTAGAGAAAATGATTTTTATCTCTGTGAGGCCCTGATGAGACAATCACACAGCTACAACTACAATTCGCCGGAGATATTCTAAAACCAAAACCAAAGTGAAAAGCTTCACACGGATTTCAAGTTTCCAGAAGTGAGGTTCAAATGGCAGAGCCTAAAAATTCACATTGCCACAGTGTGTGCTGTCTGTATGTGCATTCAGGTTTTTGTGGGGGAGCGTGTGCGTTCATATGAGGGTCAGAGGACAACCGTGGGTGCCCTTCCTCAGGCACTGTCCTTTTTGTTTGAGACCAAGTCCTTACTGGCCTGGAACTCTCCAAGTAGACTAGGCTGGCTGATCGAAGGGCCGTGATCCACCTGTCTCCACCTATCCACTGCTGGGATTACAGATTGGTGTGCCCCTGTCTGGCTTCACGTTGCCTCCTTTACTAGATTCTAATTCTCCAGGCCAGGGACATGGGGGAGGTCGGTGTGTGAAGGCTTTCTGTCAAGCCAATGTGGTTCTGATCTATCAAACCACAGCAAAGCCTCAAGAATATCCACACCGAAGACTCCATCCTCACCCGCTTTCATTCCATAGCACAAGTCTGTTCTTCCTCAGTCTGCGTCCTTGTAAGAGGGCTAACTACTCCTTCTCTGTGCATGTTGTCAGGGCTGTGCTCTGGCTTGGGAAAGTTAGTGACACAGGACGGAAAGGCTACATATGCACAGAACAATTACCTCCAAAGTAGCACAACACGCTTAAACAGAATAAACTGACCATCTAGTATATAAACCACTTCCTTCTTCACGTATGTGGCGAAGTCTGTACATGCATGTGTTATACATGAGTGTGTTGGTAGGCTTGCTCACTTAGTTACATGTGACCTCAATCACCCTCCATCTTTGTTTTTTTTGTTTGTTTTGTTTTTGTTTTTAGACAAGACCTCTCACTAAACTGGGGCTCACAGTTTTGACAGGATTGCTTGGCCAGAGAGGTCCTGGGACCTGTCGATCTTCGCCTCTGGGATCAGAGACACATGCTGCCGCAGCCAGCTTTTATGTGGATGCTGAGGATCCGAACTCAGGGGCTCGGGCATGTGCATAAGTACTGCACCCCAGCCCCTCAATTCCTCTATTTACTGTGGTGATGCAGAGTGTGAGCTCAGGGTCGCAATGTCCGACAACCCTGCCTCTTAACTTCAAGGTCTCTTCCTCATCTGTGATAGACAACTAAGAGGGTGTGTGCCCAGTTGAAAACACTGTGAGGAGCTGAGCTGGGCCAGGCATTAGGCCAGTCCACAGTTGGGGCTTGGCCATGCTTAGCCGGAAGCTGTGACTCTCCTGAAACGGCAGCCTGAAGCCAATTCTGTCACCACACCTGTACAGATGAGAGGTGAGCAGTGGCAGGCTATGCAGCCGGTTCACCCATGACAGAACTTGTCCTGACTTAAGCTTGGCACTGAGCGATCACAGCTGGAGGGGCAGCGCTGACATCAGCATTCAGAGCAACATCGCTCACCTGATCCGGGAACTGAAAGCCAGCTTGGAGGAAACTGCCAGCCTCACATCTATTAATGGCTTGTTCTCTGAAACCAGGACGAGACTACTGAATAACAGCTAGACATGGTGGCCAGTGTCCATAATCCCAGGAATCGCTATATAGTCACACTGTTTCTCTGGCTCTCCGCTACCGTGTCTACCAATTATCACTGAAAACACCATGGCAACATCACCAAATAGGACCACATTTTCATCTGCACGGAAATGACTGGGCATCCTGTCTAGGGATCTAAGGAGACGCATGGGGTTGGAGAGAGGAGGTGGCCGCCTCTGACTGGCACGTACCTCGCAGATGTCCTTGAGGTGCTTAATGTACACGCGCTCGGTGTTCATGATCTCCTGGATGACGTTGGTGCGCATCTGCTGCTGGCTCTCAGGGTGCTTGTGGCGGGCCTTGCTGCTGTCCTCATCCTGCTCTTCCCCATGGGAGCTGCTGCAGCTCTCGGGCAGCTCCTCCTGGTTGACTCGAAGCTACAGGTCACACACAGGAGGCAGGTGGCTTAGGGAAGCGGGGGCAGTAGCAGAAGAAAGGCAAAGACCTCCCGGGCATCTGCTCTCTGTGCCGAGTTATCAAGGCATGGCATCTTCAAGAAATGTCTATGGGCAGCAGCGATCCCGAGAGGCTTGTTTGCTTTCATTAAGATCCTCACTATCACCGCCTTACTTCCTACAGGTCGGGTTTATGTGTGATGTTAAACACATTGGTGGAAGAGCTGGGCCCGAGGAAAGACTGAGATCTGCCTCAAACTCTTCCACAGGTCCCTTCCCAAGAACACCCCCGGAAAACAGAGGGCCACACTCACCCTCACGAAGCTCGCGGGGAACCAGGCCTCTTTATCTTCATTCCGGCCCCACCACCAGTCCTTGTTAGAGGCTTCCAGGACCTGGATGACATCCCCAGCCTTGAAGCCCAGTTCCTGGTCATCCATGGTCACATGGTCCCACAGTGCTTCTGCACAGACCACGCTGCCATCGCTGATGAGCTGGAACGGAGACGGGAGAGCAAGCTTAGCATTCGGCGACGCAGGCGGACTAGGAGCCGCGTGCTAGGGCACGCCGCCTTCTACTCTGTCTGGAAGGACTCGTGCTGTCCAGGTAAACTAGTCATATGAAATAAGGCGAGGAACACGGCATCAGGTAGGCACCTGTGACCTGCTCTTAAAGGGAAACTCAGATCAACCTTAAAAAGGTGTCAATACGTGCTGAAGGTGGTGACATCTGTAATCCCAGCACATAGGAATCTGAGACAGGAGGATCACCAGTCCAAGGCTAGTCTGGGTCATACAGCAAGGCTGTCTCAAAAAGCAAAGGTGTACGAAACCCCTTGACTGACAATGGGGTTCCACTGTGGTTAAGTCATCTAAGTCAAATAAAACAAGTGTTTAGTACATCTAGCCGCCGTATGTCAGTGCTTACTTAGCCTTTTACAGTGAGGCCCGGAATACTCCTACAAGCCCATATAATAGGAAGTAATCACATAATGAAGTGCAGAGTATCACCTGAGCCACCAAAAAGGGAGCGGGGGGGGGGGGGGGTAATGCAACGTAATAGGAAGACAACACCACCTGACCGGGAATAAGGGACACACGGTAGAAAATATTGAAAAACTGTTCTGCCTTTGTAGTAGGAAAATCACTTCACCTTTTCCTCTTAACTGCTGGAGATAGAACCCGGAGACCTGTGCACTCTGTGACTGAACTACCCTGCCCTTATGTAAGACAGGGTCTCTGTAAGCAGCCTCTGGAGGCCTTGAACTCTAGCCTCCTGCCTCAGCTTTCAGAGTTGTTGGCATCGTACACATACCACCAGGCCCAGTGTAATTCCATGTCCTTACCTCAGGGTGTCTGTTCAAATACAGACAAGTGTTTTCCATTTACCTCAGAGATCAGCTGTGAGAATCACTGAGACAATGGGCACACTGAAAAAGCTGAGAAGCCAGCCCTGAAGACCAGCGGCCCTTTACCTTAGCGCGTATAGGGAGGACTGTCAGTAACGAACAAAGCTCAGTTATAGACGCGTCCCTGGACAATGACAAAAACTCAGTGTCGAAGATCAGCTAGCCAGAGCCGCAGGCTTCAGGACACACTAAGAACTAATCAGAGGGCCATAGCCTTGAGAATCAAGTATCTGGTATGTGTGGAATCCCAGTACCTCGTTGATGGCCAGCTGCTCCCCGCCTGGCTGCAGGTACCGAGGGTTGGCCTGGCAGAGCTCTTCATAGCTGAAGTCCTCCTCGCTGCCATTGTCATCCACTAAGGCCGAAGACTCTGCACCTCCATCTGAAGAGACTGCCGGGGAGAAGCCAGAGAAAAGACATGTTTTCAAAGATGCGGGCATGGGGGCTCACATCTGGGATCTCAGCACTCAAGAGGCATAGGTAGAAGGACAGCAGCAAATCTGGGGACTCAGCGAGATCCCGATGAGCCAGGGTGATAGGGCAAGATACAACTAACAGCAATCCATTTATAGGGTCAAACAGCTGGCCACTAGGAACACTCCTCATGGAAAATGGCCATTTTCTCTCACCCAGAGTAGGGAAGTGTTAGGAAATTCCCTCTGAAACCCTAACCCTGAGGTGGCAGCCAGTGCCAAGGGCAGCTAGAGTTCAGTGCCCCAGCACCTTTGGCGATACTGCCAACAGTTACTGGGAGTCGAGGGAGAGGGAATTACATGTGATGTAGTGGGAAATCCACTCCAGAGTGGATATAAAGAATACAGGTAACAGTCAACTACGAGGGTTCATAGCTGGGATTCCTGAACCTGGGCTGAGGCAGGAGGATCACCATGGCTTAGAGGCCAACCTAAGTTACTGAGTGAGACCTCGTATAAAACAAAAAGGAACAGGAACATAATAATGTTCTCAAGCAATGTGTTGATGTTCCTGAAGTAAAGAGCGTGAGAATTTCATCACTGTTGATAGTCATGAAGCATAAAGAGCGTGAGAATTTCATCACTCTTGAAAACATACTCTTCTGCAGCCCAGAAGGGAACAGAAACCCAAGGCCAGAGGTGTCCATGGAGTCAGCATGGGCTGATCTTGTCACCGACCCACAAGGAATGGGGCTCAGTATCAGAAATGGAAACTGTGGGCACCTTCACCAGGACAACAGAAAGGGAGCTTCAGATATGGAGGGAGTACCCAGAGCGAGGGACGTCGTGGGTGCTGGAGGAGAACCCACACCTCCACTTCACTCAGACAACATAATTCCTAAGTCCACACTAAATATTCGCCTTACACCCACAGAAAGGTGCAGTCTTCACTCCTCAGCAAGGAACGTCTCTTGGCAACGGACAGAGACCAATAAAGAAAACCACAACCAATAGAAACACAGTTGTGAAGCCCGGTCCCAGTGGACACCATCGTGGAATAGGGGCAGGAAGACTGTAAGAGCCAGAGGACCACGAAGCTTGCTAATAACCAAAGATACACATAAAGTCCCACCAACACGACCACCCAAAATGAGTAGAAAAGGACAAAAACGTAGATATGACCACGGATGGATGGGGGAACCCATGAGGCTTCAGCCATATACGAAGAACTAAAGACAGCTAAGGAATGCCGGGAGTGGGAGACAGTCCTCCCTAGGGAAGAGCACTTTTTTGGTTATCCAGTACCAAATGATCAGCCCTACAAACATACACACAAGTAATACTATACAGACTGGACAGGCTGTATGTATGCATTTAGGAATATATGTGTATATGCATATACACATATGCATGTAATCATGAAAAAGTCTTAAATTTGAAAGAGGGCAAAGAGGGGTCTATGGGAGTGTTTGGAGGGAAGAGGAAATTATGTTAATTGTATTATAATATAAGAAAACTTTTTAAAAATAATTGATAAAAAATATGGGGGTTCCATTTTGGTCTTCACTTCCAAGGATATCCATTTCTTATAAACATGGTTGCAAAAAAACTAAATGGAGATTTCCAGAAATAACCCCAATGTCTGCCTACTGGCTTCTACTTAAGGTACCACAGAGAGACCCAATGCTCAATGCATGCTAGGTAAGTACCCTTGATTCCGACGGTCTATGTTTGTCATTACTGTTGAATTTCTTTATTACTATTGTTCATCTGAACCTTGTGCCCAGAGCACAAAGAAGAAAACACAGCATATGCCAGATTTGGTCTGAGGTTTCACTTATGTACTAGGGAGGCTGCACATTCATATCCCGGCTGCCCAGACCCAAAACAATCACACAGAAACTATAGCAATTACAACACTGCTTGGCCAATGATCCAGGCATATTCCTAGCTAACTCTTACATCTTAAATTAACCCATTTCTATTAATCTATGTATCAGCACGTGGTTGTGGCTTACTGGTAAGGATCTGTCTCCTTCGGCAGCTACATGGCATCTCCCTGACTCTGCCTACTTTCTGTCTATGTCTCTTCCAGCCTGGCTATATTCTGCTCTGCCATAGGCTGAAGCAGCTTCTTTATTAACCCATGGTAATAAAACATATTCACGGCATACAGAGGGAATCCGACATCACATGTATCCACAAATGTGTCTTCTGTGGCCAGGGGTCCTCTGGGTAAGGAAAGGGGAGAATGGGAGAAGGCAGGAGACTCCCAGAGCCACAGAAACCCATGAATGCGCTTGCAATGTGTGGTTGTATGACTGGTCTCACTACACATAGCCCAGACTGGTCTGGAACTCATATTCTCCCACCTTGGCCAAGAGCTGGGTCATGGGAACGTGATACCAATTGTCTCCTTTCAATGCTTTCAGTCAGGGGACAAAAAGTTTGTAGTCCAGGGTCCCTTTACACTGCAAGTTTCAGAAAGACGATTTTGGCAGACTGTGCGATAGGAAGGACTGGATGACTCTGCTGAAACAGAAAAGGTAGGAGGGCTGAGGACAGAGGAGGCTGCTGCAGTGAAGGGCAGCAAGGTAACACCCCGGGCAAAGGGGAGCAGGGCCAGTGTCCGTGAGTGATGGACATCCTGCTCAGGTGGAGAGCAACTGAAGACGAGCTCAACAAGGGTCTGGAAGGACTGGTAAAAGTGACATCGTAGGAAGAAGCAGTGTGGCGTGAAGGAGGCCCCTCTGCGGCAGCCCCCCCACCCTGGCTCGCCCCATCCCATGAGCCCCAACTCAACTCGGTTTCTTCCAGCAGCATCTGACCTGGCTGGACCCTCTCACAGATCTGTGCTTTCTTGCCTTGTTTCCTGAGGCTGGGGTCCCCTGACACCTGCAAACCCACAGTGTTGCTTTAGTGACCCCACTTTCAGAGCCAGTTCAGAGCCTGCACCCAGCTATATACAGCAGTGCTGTTGAGGCCCCGGATGCTGGTGAGTCCACGAATTCTGGACGAGCTGATGTGGTGCCGCTGAGCTGGGCCTCGGGCGCCCAGTGGCTGCTGGCTGCCTGCAGCGTCCAGTCCCTTCCTCCGAGCCTCAGCTCCCATCCCTGATGGCAATCAGACGAGTTCTGGCTACAAAGTAGTGAGCTGCCTTGGAAGTACCTCGGGAAGTGAGTCAAGGTGTTCCTGAACTTGAAGGCAAAGCCAAGAAGCTCAGAAACACTCTTAGGAGTTCCTACGCTGTCCTGAATCTGATGTCTTTCTGACTCCTCAGGCAAAGGGCAGGGGTAGCCACTGGGTGTACATGTGTCTGCAAGGCCTCAGTGTCTGCAAGCTTCCCCTCCCTTCAGGGATGGGGGGAGGGGAAAGGAGGCAGGGAATGAGATCTTGAGGAAGTCAGACCTCAGCTGTCTGAGAAACACACTTGAGGCCACAGGACAGTGTCTGTTCCTTTTCAGTCTTACCTTCCAGCCCCCTTCTGTGGTCACAGGCCTTGCAGGTGCGGAGTGGACAGTTGCACTAGTACGTGATCTATTGCACAACCCTGGGGTGTGAGTGTGTGGGATGCTGAGGAAGGAAGCCTTCAGGAAACGAGAACAGGTTTTCTGCATCTGTAAGTCAGCGTCTCAGGCACCACAGGCAGCAGTAGAGATAAAAGCCTTTATGAACCCGAGGCAGGGGTGGAGAGGTGGGGGGTAAGGGAGGAGTGGGGGTCTGCAGGGAAGACAGCGGCCTGTAGTAAGACCTGGTGGGGCTCACCCAGGTTCACAGCTAAAAGGTTGTAACGATCGTGGGGGAGCTGAGCATAGACAAACCCTTGGTCTGGCTGGGGCCCAGGAACCTTTGGCTGCCAGCCAGCAGCGACCTGGCACTGCCCAACACCACCAGCCCCATTTCTCCTTATCACATTTCAGCGGTGGCTGAGCCAGATTTATAAAAAACAAAACAAAAAGAAGAAGAAGAAGAAGAAGAAGAAGAAGAAGAAGAAGAAGAAGAAGAAGAAGAAGAAGAAGAAGAAGAAGAAGAAAAGAAAGCTCAGTCAGAGGAAAGTCCTGAAAACGACACTTTCTCCCTCAGAGAACCACTGAACGGTGTTGGCCCAGTGAGAACCCTGCCACCCGATCTGCCTGTTGCTGGGAAAATCAGCCTTTTTTTTTCTTTTTTAAGCCAGTATCTACCATCTACAACCCATAATTCACAGGAGTCTAATAAAAGGGACTCACTGGAAAGAGGGCCAGACTTCACAGGAGGCAGGGACACAAAGTGACAAGGACAAAAGGCCAAATGGCCTCTGAACTGTGGCCATAAATGCTTACGAGAATGAAGTGGCTTGTGGGACAGACTCAGCACCACAGTAAGCTCTTGCTGAGTACTACAGAAGCAAGGTGGGTTCCATGAGCCCAGGTACACTGACTCTGGCTCCCCACCAGCTGACTGGGCGTGGCTAGAGGCAGAAGACGTGTAATGTGTAGGGAAAGATGGCTGCCAGGATGGCGAGACAGCCAATCCTGGCAGAGAGGACCACGCCAACCTCTCTACATCCATCCCACATGGGTAAACAGGTGTAAGCTGCAGGGCAGGGATGATTACATGTCAATTACATGATTACTGCTGGGCTGGCTTCACTTTTCTGCTAAAAAACCACGGGCAGCCGGGCGATGGTGGCGCACGCCTTTAATCCCAGCACTCGGGAAGCAGAGGCAGGCGGAGCTCTGTGAGTTCGAGGCCAGCCTGGCCTAGAAGAGCTAGTTCCAGGACACGAACCAAAAAGCTACGGCGAAACCCTGTCTCGAAAAACCAAAAAAAAAAAAAAAAAAAAAAGAGAGAACTATGGGCAAAGACACTCAGCCCCTTCCAAGGGGAGCAGGTTTTCATGTTTTATATATTCCAAGACCATCCTTCCTCTCCTGCCTTTCACAGACAACCTGGACTCTGTCTTCCCCTCCAAAGGGGATAAGAACCCAGCCATCTC